TATATATATATATATATATATATATATATCTTTTTTTGCTTTTAAAACTACTTTAGACATATTTTCACAAACAGATAAATTTCTACAACATAAAAACTATAACAAAAATTGTAAATGTATCCCAAACATGAAATCTATAAAAAAAATTCTAAATGTATTCCAAATGAAAATTTTAAAACAGTCTTGTGAAAATCTTATGTTGGATTATTTTATTAAACACAATAAAAGTATATAAGATAAAGCACTCCTGAAACATTATCAGTTCAGAAGTGTTTTCTTTCTTTCTTTCTTTCTTTCTTTCTTTCTTTATATTGTGTTTATGTTTTGCTTTTAAAAATAAATATTTTCATACTTTTTAAGAAAATCAAAATACATAATATTTATTAGATATCTTGTAGCCAAATTTGAGAAAATTAAAAAGAAATAATGTAAAGTATTAGATTGGTTACACCATTGTTAAAAATAATAACAAAAACATATAAGTTATAAGATAAACAGGACTCCAGATTTTTTTCACTCTTAAATTTTTATCGTTTTTTTATCGTTTTAAAATATTATTTACTTGTTTATTTATTTGTTTATTGACATAATTACTGACACAGTCTATGGCTCACCTTCACGTACACTAAACATTAAACTTAGAAAATATTACCACATCATATTCATGACACCCAACTGGTTTAAGTACCAACTTATGACCATCATGTATCCCTGTTTAGTTCCATTTGAAACGCAACAATTGCTCATCTCAGAACATTATTTTTGACAAATGACTATATTATGAGATATCTGTGGTGGGCATTTAGTCTCTAAGGACATGAAAATAGGCTGCCAGTTGTGGGATCTCCACAACATTGCAAGTCAGTGCAGCAAAATGATCCACTTTCCTGTGAAGCTGTCAGCCACCAAGTTCTCTTGCAGCGTCAGTCAGAACATGTATGGATTCAATACACAAAAAACTCATTTTGTCATTCTGCATTTCATCGCAGGCACAGGAACAAATACCCAAAGAAAAATACTTCTCGAAGTAAAAGGACTACTTGTTGTAGAGGCTTGAACAAAAACTCTTCAAATATAAAGGTGAAAACAGACTAAAGTGAAGGATTGGCTGCACTTTTTTGGAATTGCGGTGTCGAATGGCTGCACTATGTCTGTGTACCATCTTGTGAGTTCATAAAAGTTGAAGAAGTATTCTCAAACCACGAAGTGGTCTGTTTCTTTTGATTTTGACGTTAGAGCTATGAGGTTGTCGGACTTTGATGACATACCTCAAGCTGAGATGCCAGAATCTGGGAATGGAAAACTGATGATGCCGAACAAAAGTGAACTGCAGAGACTGAGTAGACCATAAGAGAGTGTGAATCCTTCGGTTGCACCGTTGTCATCGCCATCCATCAAATTGTGGCTCTATCCTCATAGCTCAAGGAATTCCTCTCACGCAATTCGCTCTTTCTTGCTGCTTGACTGTGTCGTGCTCTTGTCGTCACATGAAATGGATTTGTTCAGCGATGCAAGGTGCCGTTGCAGCATGAGATAATTGCTTTTGGGTGTTCCGATTGGAGTACTTGGTTTATATTGATAGCGTTTCTAAGAGTGGACGTCTATTTTGAAGCAAAAAGTAGCCGATTGGAAGCCCACCAAGAGTTGTATTCGAGTTGGACTCAGTGATCTCCGCTAAAGCAGCAAAAAAGTACATTGCAATGACGATTTTGCTTAACATGCATGACCTGAATGTCTATTTTACTCAAATACTTGCTGAACTAATTGCCAAGTGTAGAGGTCAAAGAGTCATAGATCTCAAGTCTCTATCCTTCCCCTAATCTGTGCACTGTTCGAGTTCTTTCATCCTCGGAACATCTTTGGTTTTGATTTTTAAATTCTTAGCAATTGGGTGACTGATTAGTAGTTTTCTGAACGCAGTGCAGACAGGTTATCAAATGTGGTTAAGGTTTCTAATCGCCAGATAGTCATCACGTTTTATCATACAGATCACTCATAACAATTGTGTTATCTTTGAGTCCTTAACATTCATGTTTTAATCACGCAGGGAGGAGTTCTAATAGACCCTACTCTCAAAATGAAAGTCCAAAAATTGCTGAGTGGCTATATAAATGGAACATTTAATTTGAGACACAAAACCGCAGTTCGTGAGAGCAGATTCTGATGGTAATTCAGATAACATCTCTTGAATACCGGAAGTTGAAACTCACCACTTGACTTTTATTGTAGCATTCGAGGAGACAAAAAAAGCCTTCGACTTATCGAGTGGCTAAGTGTTCCTTGAGGTTAGCTTTTGAGCTGAAACCCAGTACCTTGTTGCACGTAGCTTCTCGTAGTAAAGTAATCCCAAAGAGTGAAAGTACTCATCAACTGATTCAATGCGCAATTGAGTTGCACGTTCAGAGTTGTGCTTAAAAGAGATCATATGATTAGCAAATGGTGAATTCTAAGTGCTTAACTCATGCTCGCCAAAGACCGGGTGTCCGACCACGACACTGCTCTGAGTAGTTTAAACTCAATCTCTACTCCAGCTTTATGGACCTTATTCACAAACCGAGTCTCGAATCATGTAAATATTCTAGTAATACACGAAAACGCTCTTTGAGTACCATCTCGGAGTACCACGTCCATCACACATGGAAAGTTTGGAGTGCCTCGTCGGCGTGTTCCATTATAATTCAATGAAAAAGTTAGAAATGGGCAGAAATGATCACTTGTTTGCCTTCTTCTTGCGCGTCCTACAAGTTATCTCCGGTGCTGCGGCGCCCTTAAAAATAATATTCACCCCTTCTTCGTCAACAAGTCATGGAATGCCGGAAATTGTATTTGTCCTGCTGTGCTTTGAGGTTGTGTGCACACTCAATCACCCCTGCAGACTAATTGCCTACACGAATATCACGAATTGCAGGGGATCCCAACTCGGTTACTGAGGTTGTGGCGCACCGACGTACCACAGGGGATGAAAGCCGTGGATACGATGAAATTGGGGGAAACCCACAGATGAGTGTTGATGATGCTGTAAAACGTACAGTGCCGCAGAAACAACATGCTGTCAATTGAGGGGGTCACCTGTACTGCGGTCCAGTGAGAGATCTGGTCAATTAGCAGCATTGATGGTCGGCCTGGTCACATGAAATACTCCTCACATTTGTCGACGAGGAATTTCTACTTGGCAAGGTGTGATAAGATCCTCCCTCTATTCAACCTGAAAACAAACGTTGCGTACAGCCTGCGTACTCAACCATTTCCATTGGGTGGGCTGTTCTTTTCTGCATCACTCTATATTGCCCTTTGTTGGTACACTTCTATCTGTTGTTGGAGTTTTTACTGCAGCAGTCTCTCACGACTTGTCACCAGCTCTCAAGTCTCTTCTAATGATGTTTAGAAAGTGCAAGGCAGTAATGTGCACAACATCTGCAGCATTTTGGAGGGTGTACCTTCGACGGACAGGGAACAGGAGAGAACCAATTTAATGGGGGAAAAAAGATATGATGTAGGTGGTGCAAGTCATTCCCTACCCTATCGCTCAGCATCTGTTCTCTCAAGGACTCGCAGCTCGCACCCAGTTTCACTTCTTCCCCTCTCTGGACACAATAGTTTAGGGCCATATTTCATTACTTGGGGAAAACGAAAGAGAGCAAGGCTTCTTAAACCCTAATTTTAGCTATAGCAATATGACAGCTACCTACATTGGAAATTCGAAAGTGGTGTGTAAGAGAGCGCCCAACTAGACAAGATCCCACCAGGGTAAGCAGCATTATAAAAATTATATGTAAGCCAGTACAAGATACCCAAGTTTCTCCAATTCCAAAATTTTGACTTACGTCTCCGGAGGCGCTACTCCCAAAGGGAAACCAAATCCGGTTTTCTCAAGCAGATCCCAAGGCAGGAGCAGAGGGACACAACGAACCTCATTTACTTGTACAGGTGAGTACAGTCTGACCGCAACAGTCTCATGAATACGACTGACAAGTTCATCTCTATAGTCGCATTAACTGCTGCCCCAGTTGCTGCAGCAAAGCGGCAATGGTTTCACCCAATCCGCGCAACAACGGGATGTGTGGAGTAGAAATTTATTTATTATATAATGCCAAAACGAGTTCTTGTATTTACTCTCCATCATGTCAGAAATCAACGTCTACGTTCCACTGAAAATTCGAGAGAAACGATTTTTATTGCTTCACCGAATCATGTTCCAGTCGTTATGCTGGAGCTCTATTCACCCAACTGTTGAACATGAAGATTTCGTTTTGACTCCCACGTTACAAAAAACACAATATGCCCATGCCAATCACACATTTTTCTTCGTTACCTTTTTTTTTTGTCCTCTATTCTTTTCACCTGGACATTTCTGAATGTAAAACAGACCCCAACTTTCACCTTGCAAATATTCTGGAGATTCGATATTAGCTTTTGTTACCATCCACAGCCTCATCATGTGAAACGGACCCCATCTCTTGCTCTCTATCATTTGACAGTTGACTTGAGATTGTGCTCAAGCTCTCTCTGGAGCCCAAACGGCTCCGAGGTAAAACTTACCCTGTTTTTCAAAATGACTCGGTGTTTGCCACAAAAATGGTGGACATGGATGGTGTCAGAAGAAACTGAAGAATCCCCTTCATTTGTTGTATATGTTTATATATATAAATTATTTTTCTTTTGAAGAATGAAGCTCTGTGGTGAGATATATCAAGGGAGAAGATATAACAGGAGAATTGATTGGGAATTTAGTTCAGGCTAGTCCAACACTGGCAGACGCTGCAGATTGAAATGAATGCAAAGGGAAATTGAGAGACGATAGCTTTGATGGAGTTCGAGGAGGAGCGAAGGCATTGAATACGCGGGCACGGGATCAATTATTGATGTCTAGCCCAGCGGTCACATCAGTAACCGTGGGGAACGGGGAAAGCACCGTGGGGAACAAGGCGGACATGGGGAATGGGAACGTAGTGGGAACTTCATCTTCTTCCTTTGTCTTTGTTGATAAAACCTCGGGAGATGGGCCCGGACTTCTCTCAAGGCATGGCCTCTCATGAAACACTAAGCTCGATTGATTTGGTGAGCTGCCCTGGCCATTGCTGACCCGCCTCGCACGGTTGTAAGCAGCGGCCGTGTGCAATGCGTCGCGACGCAGCTGTAGAGCTATTCCGTGGCTGATTTGGTGCCGTATCGCTGCTGTTTCGGCACGCTCAGGGTTTGTTGCAAAAGCTTGGGTGTGTGTGCTGTGAGGTGTCGCTATGCTGGGGTTAAGTAAGTGTGCTGGGTTGGAGTGAGTGGTACGTTGAAGGTATTCTAATTCCAGGGAAATCTCGGAGGTCTAGATGGAGTCGGGGGCACTGGAGCTGCATGTTTCTGGTGGAAGTTGTTTCACTGGAGCCGAGGTTCTACGTTTTGGTTTCTCCTTCCGGTTGCGTGACGTATCTGCATTGAGTTATGGCCGGATTGTGGCTTGGATTTGAGGGCGGAGCTGCAAGGAATTGAAGTGGAAATGCTGCTTGGCCATGCGCATAGACTCATCGTTTTGTGTCGGAAATGCGGCATGTGAAGGGTGTTAATCTTGGCCTGGGAATCCTCCTGTTCGAGCAAGGAGCCTGAGATAGTATTGGATATGCGCGAAATTTTACAATGATTGAGTTGAAGCTAAGCTTGCAACGCGTTGGGGTCAGGCCCTGTGAAGGCCCGTTTGCTGTGCTTTGGTTGTTAGTCGAGGTGTGAAAAGCATGAGGTGTGGGAGGTTACAGGGATATGCTCTACTGAGGTCACTGTATTTCCTGATTGTGGCACGTCGGTCTACACTGAATTGGCACATGGAAGTCAACGCTGTATTCTCCTGAAGCCCAAGTCGTTTTAACTTATTGCCAATCCCCTAGACTGAAGCGGTGAAAACAGCGTTACATATGAGCTGTTAGGAGCCGGTAAGCTGCCGTTTTGAAGCACCTTACGGAAAGCACTCGGAGAGATCTTCTGGTGTTTTTATGGACTGGCGATGCCGGAACGCTCGTAGTGCAGCTTTTGGAACTCGTGCAAGCCATATTTTTCTTACTGCGTCGTATGTCAGAGTTTTGAAACTCGTCACGAGGAGTTGGTACGGTGATGTCTTGACAGTTCTAAGGTTTCCCGTACACACACTACGTAGGCTCGCCTTGACTTTCACAGGTCCCTGCGGGGTTCTCTAGAGATTTTTCTGATGCATGTCATCAGGTGCTCGCGAAGCTGGTCTTGTTGGCATCGACTGACTAGTTCCTTTGGGCAAGGAGAGTACACGGTTTAATTGAGGGGAGGGAGGTTTATTGAATTATGTCAAACCAAAGTTAGACTGATTTTCCTGCAAATATTTATTGTTTCAAGGACTCCACGATTTGGAATCAAAAGGAACATTGGTCGCTAGCTGTGGTTGGTGCTGTGGCAATGCATATAGACTTCAAGATCAGCACTTGTTGTGATTGCAATGATGTTTTCACCCCAACAAGTCGGAGTGTGAGACCAGTACTAGTTAACGCTGTTTCCTTTTTTTGCCTGTTTTATGCTTGAATAGCTTATTCTTCAATACCTGCAAGGATATCTTTCAAGTTGGATAAATGTCAGTTGCGGTACGAAACAAATTTGGAACACCTACTGAACATAGGTAGCAACCTGGTCGGAGTTCCGTACTGCTCGCTCTAGCAAGCAATGCCCAGTTCCGTCCACTGTGCCACATCCTAATTAGGAAAGAGAGAAGGTGTAGCGATGTCTGCAATAGGGGCAGTGAAGAGGGAAGAAGAAGTGGAAGAAGTGTATGAGCTTAGTTCAAGCAGTACCAACAGCGATGACCCCAGAGAGGCAAAAGAACTGGGCAAAAGAAGCAGTCCCATTGAAAGCCCTTGGGGCGAGGGTTTTTTTCTGCAGAAGAAGCAGAAGCTGGAGCCCTCAGATGATCTCCGACTGAACGAATGGAGGTATGAGGATTTGAAGAACCAGTCGCAGGGGGATTTGAACATTGGTCATGAAACCAAGAGCATATCTTCTCCGGTTGCGCTACCTTTTTTTCCTCAACCTCCGCTCAATGAGTCCGCGAGCACTCGAGCTAGCTGCAAGCAGTTTTGGAAAGCTGGTGACTACGAAGGTCAGCCTGCTATTGTCATGCAACAAGCAGGTGAGATTTCGTACCACATAATTCCGATGGTACTTGAATGAATGTAATATTATCGATCTCATGTTTCGTGGAGAATTAGGGAGGTTAAACTCTCAGAGATTTTATTTTTTTGACATCCACTATGTATGTGATTCCTACTGTCGACATTATTCTAAAAATAATAATTCTCGGGCTCTTTCTTGACTACCTAATTCATCCAAGTTTCCTCGTACCTCACTTCGTCTCTCTACCTCTCGCCTTATATTTTCAAGCTGATTGAGAATCTACGTCAGGCATTTATGCGAGACCATTTAATTATGTCATGGAAGGAGAATGTTTTGGTGCACGTTAAGATTTGTGGCGCTATATATCAGGTTAATGGATAATGTAATGTTGCAACAGCAGCTCTTCTTTTGTGACAGTAATGACTTGGAGAAAGAGTTTTTCCTGCGTGTCTCAACTTAGCTAATCGTGATTTTGAGAGTTAACTAGTGAACTGTCATGAGATTGTTTTACCTTGCACTATGAAGTCAGTGAACTGAAATACACATAACATTCGATCATAGGGGGAAATGCCATTACTTTACCAATTCGTGTCGTGTATTTAGGTGCAATTGACCACGTTAGGGTTCATCCGAAGTTTCTTCACTCCAATGCAACTAGCCACAGATGGGCTCTTGGTGGTACGTTCCACTCACATCATGATTCTTGTTTTTCTAGTTCGGGGTTGCAGTTGGGAGGCAGAACAGCTTCTTTTTTTTTTAATGTTTTTTTTTTTTTTTTTTTTTTTTCTGTCTTTACTTTTTTCTTGGAAGGTACTCTAAAATTTCATCTATCTCTTTTTGATACATCATGATAATTAATATCTTCAACATAAGCTGAACTGGAGAACCTTAATAACCGCAAAGCTCTCACTAGCATCGCTGCCACGTATTGATGTTAGTTTAACAGGCAATTTTTAATTATTCATGCTCTTTTCCAAGCTTACCTGCTAGCATACGTGATAGTAGGGCCTCTTTTGTGTTATAGTGGTAGGTTATTTTGAGCTCTATTGATTTGTAGGTGGATTACTAACTTATGGTTGGACTTTTTGCAGCTGTTGCTGAACTAGTGGACAACGCTGTGGATGAGGTACATTTTTGCTTTCTAGTAGCTGAAAAACAATGATCTTTGGCTATTGGTCGTCGGAATCCTTTCTCGTACTGCACCAACTAGCGCAACTCTATCTGCTCTAGGAACATAGCACACATTTCGCTACTCATTACAACAGTATTTTAGGATCTGGAGGATGTTGTATCTTCAGTCAACCAAGCTAAATTGTACCTGTCTAGAATCACATTTCTTCTACGGGATCATGTTGCAAATTGGTCCCTCATTGGCGGCGGGGCTAAGTGTGAATTATTTTTCACAACCTGCAGGTTGTTAATGGCGCTACATTTGTGAGCGTAGATGTGTCATTGCACCCCAGAAATCGTTCCTCTATGCTTGTCATTGAAGGTGTGCACTTTTCGCTGACACATAATGCTACAATGAGAAGTGTTTTTTTCTGACTACTTGATGACATTGTGGTTTCGAACTATCTCTAGCAATCTACGAACTTCTGTACCAGTGAGTATATCGTTGGTTGATAGTATGCTCTAGTTCGCTGTTCTTTCTCATGAGGTCATGCTTACTCTATAAGCCATTATTGCTTTCATAACCGTTTTTCTGACGTTTCTACTAATTTGTACACTTGGCTTTCAGATGATGGTGGTGGGATGACTCCCGATCGAATGCGTCAGTGCATGTCCCTCGGTTATTCTGCAAAGAGCAAAAGTGCCAACACTATCGGTCAATGTATTAATTGCTTCTTCATAACTTAATGTCTTCTGAGATCATTTTCTTTCTCTTTATGTACTAACCTCTAGAGTTTTTCCTGATCTTATTTCTCTGGAAGTTGAAATTTCCAAGTGCTTTCTTTGCTGGCATTCCAAGGTGGTCATGCAGCATTATGCTGATATTTCTTGCAATCCAGTCTGCATCAGTTTCTTTTTTCAGGTGAATCGCTTCAACTTGACACGACCTTGCCTGCTCGAAATTGCAGATGGAAACGGTTTCAAGACAAGTACCATGCGGCTTGGTGCTGATGTGATTGTGTTTTCACGATCTCGTGCTTCCAATGGGCATAGGTTTGTCACAACCTTGGATAGTTGAGCAACCGTGATACCATTTTCTTAGATTCTACTTAATCATGATTGTTTCCACTTAGCTGTCATTCTTTTCATGTACTCCTTCACTAATTTCATCGTGTCAGAAGTTTTTGTCTGAATAGTACATACTACAACTCGGTCTGATTTATATCAATCAAGTGCATCAAGTGTCGTTCAAGTGGAAATTGTAGATTTGTTTGGTATCTGGAGGGCCATAAACCTTTTATTTACAAGATCTCACTTCGTCTAATTGGCGGACAGAGCTACACAGAGTATCGGTTTGTTGTCGTTCACCTTCTTACGACAAACTGGACATGATGATATAGTTGTTCCAATGGTGAGTTGTTATCATTTGAGTATTTATGCATTTATTTGATGCATCATATATTGAAAGGTGGTTAATTTCTGAAAGAATCAAGAAAATAGAATTAGCTTTTGTTTCCGCTAAAATTGAGTTGAAAATATAGAAACGAGTGCTTCTACTCGTCTGTGTTGGTATCATGACCAAATTTTAGAAGAGGTTGAGTGCCAAATTGTTATCTGTTTATAAGGGTGGTGAAGAATGTCGACACATGAAAGAGTTTCAATATGAGGAACGAAGTTAGAAGAGCTTCTGAACTTGTGCAGATTGATTATGAAATTGGAGATGGGGAGGTGTGGAAGATGATGAAGACAACTTTGAACGACTGGACTCACAATCTAGAAACAATTCAGTCCTGGTCTCCTTATTCAAGTGAGGAAGAACTGTTTGACCAGGTTTGTTTACTTTCTAGCTGTGAATCGAATACGTACTCGTTTGACTCCATCCAATGAGTGAAAAATAGGTATTTATAAGAACGGAGCTCTCACGTAGGAGTAATTTGTACTGCAGTTTTTAGCGAAGTATCATGCGCTTGCAGTTGCAAGCAGGAATAATGTAACTTTCTTTTGGAAACGAGAGAGCAGTGCCTCTACATCATTACCTATCACGGCCACATCAGCATCTTCATGTTTGATTGGCTAGCTCACGCTGGATGCTTTAGGAAGGAAACTATAACGAGTGGAAGGAAAACCAGGATTGAACGTTATTATTTATTGTCTGTTACCTCAACAGTTTGCAGGTATGAAGGACCATGGGACAAAGATTGTTCTGTACAATCTGTGGGAGGACGATCAAGGCCAACTCGAACTAGACTTTGACACAGATCCCTATGTGAGTTGTCCAGCTGCCTGTTTTTGAACTATAGTCTCTCGATATAGAGATCCTTGACCACAGATATTACGAAAGCTAATAGAATATCAGATAGATGCACACTATCATTGAAACATCATTGTGTATCACCCACTTTCGCAGGTCTAGTGGCAGCAATAAAACGCTAATTGTTTTTGGGATTGTAGGATATTCAAATTAGAGGAGCGAATCGTGACGAGAAAAAAATACAAATGGCTCAGCGGTTTCCCAACTCTAGTCATTACCTTACCTACCGTCACTCATTGCGAGTACGTTACTTTTCCTGTTCAATGTTTAGCAGATTCTTTTACTTTAACATCTTGCTTTTAATGTACGATTATCAATCAAAGGGACACAGAAATGCTGGAAACGTGTATGGGGATTTATCAGTAGTCTCTATCTGTGCCCCACTTCTTTTTTTTGTCTTTTTCATTGTTCAGAATAGCAACTCAGAGTGAGTGTGTTAGTGTGTGTAATTGCAAATGTACATGTATGGCCGTTTGTTGGTGTGGCAGAGTTATGTCTCCATCTTGTACTTGAGGATGCCACCTGGCTTCAGAATTATGCTCCGAGGACAAGAAGTTCAGCACCGTAATCTTGTAGATGACCTGATGTTTACCCAAGAACTCACTTACAGGCCACAGAGTGGAGCTGATCATGTAACCAAAGAAACTGATGTAAGACTGCACGCATCTGCAATTTTTGCATACCATTTCATTTTGTGCACATACAATTCTTTTGTCTTGTACTTTATTTCCTTTATAATGTGTATGTGTTGCTATTGAAGTTTAATTAAAAACTGTAGAGATTAGTACAAATTATGCAATGTGTGATTCGCAGATGATGGCAGTGGTTACCATTGGGTTTGTGAAAGATGCTAAAGACCATGTAAACATTCAGGGTTTTAACGTTTACCACAAAAACCGCCTAATTAAGGTGATTATTTTACTCTTATGTTCTGTCATGTGCGTAACAATATTTTGCAATTTGGAGCATACAATTCATTCATCTTCTGTTCTCTTTTAGTCTTTGCTTCATTTCAGACTCTGTTGATATGAAACCTCTTTTGTGATACTGTGGCATGCTAGCTTTTGTTTTTTTAGGGTATTTGACATCCAAATGCATTCAAGCATATGATCAATTGGATGGTTGATAATGACATCATGAGTTCTTTTATGTTTTATGTAGCCGTTGTGGAAAATTTGGAATTGTACTGGCAGTGATGGGCGGGGTATTATAGGTAAGCGATGGCTTCCTTGAGAGAACTGGGAATCTGAATGAATTCTTTCTTCTAGGAATCGATATGTATGTTCATGATTTCTGAATACTGTATCGTGTTGTTGAGTACCACAATCTAGTGTAATTGAAAGTTATTTCCTCAATCATGTTTGTGAGCTTCCTGTAACAATTCTTTTTCCTTCACAGGAGTCTTAGAAGCCAACTTTGTGGAACCTGCTCATGACAAGCAAGGATTTGAGCGCACTACCGTCCTGTCACGATTAGAGTCTCGCCTGTTGCAGATGCAGAAGAATTATTGGTGCTTTTCTTTATCCTTCAGCTCAGCTCGAGTCATCTATTGACTATGGAAACTTTTCTTGCAAGTATTCGCTACCTCTGCTATCTCTAACATTCATGGATTTGCAACTCCACAGGGCAAATAATTGCCATAAGGTGGGCTATGTGAGCAAAAAGATTAAGAGGAGCTTACCACCTGCCCTTGTGCCTGGAGGTACTTTTCACGATGCTAACTTCAAGAGCTAGTTTTTTGGATGTGAATTTTTTGGTTTTTTGTGTATCGTGGACTGTATTAATTATGTACTTTCCTCCAGTGCGCGTGCTCGCGCATTATAATCTCTTTTTTACTGGTGTTTCTTTTTAGTACTGATTCTGGTAATCTTCCTCCACTTACAGAGGCCGCTATGAACAAGGGTCAAGGTTCAACAATGTCATCTCCAATTTCGGACCCTCACGCAGAATTACGCCTCTCTTTGCCTTCCAACTCAATGAGTGAAGGACGGAGAACTGGAGGGGTTTTGCGAACGTATGGAGAGGGAACGTCAGGAAGACTAAGGCTTGAAATCGAACCAGCTTCTGCGATATCTAGAAGTGGATCTCTCAACAACGGCACCTGTATGGTTAAGGTGTTCCCGAGAACTTCTGTCCTGCCTTCTTTCTGCAAAGTCAGACTTACAGTTGCTTCTAGAGTGCGCCACGCCCATCATTTTCTCTTATGATGGGGCATCTCATTGATGCTATCTGCTAACTAGTAATTCCTGTGCTGCAACAGAATAATGAGCCTGGTCCTAAGGAGACTGTCCCTAGCCGGAAGTCATTGGAGGATCTTGGAAGGATGGTATTGTCGTTGTTCTACATGTTGACCTCGTGCTGCGTCAGTATGTGTGTTTTTATTTGAATTGTAATTTCCGGATATATATAACTGCCAGAATTTTGTTCAAAGGAAACTGTATCTATCAGGTGTTTATCGGTCATATGCAATGAAGTACCCCCTTCAAGATTTAAGCTGTTATTTCTTCGCACATGAAACTGAAACCTGTGGAGAAATGTATCGCAGTTTTTGAGATTTTTACTCTTGTTAATTGTCTGTGGTTCAGTTTGTTAGAAGGGCTGCTGCTGCAGATGTTGCTCCTCCTCCACAAGTGCAGCAGCGGCCAGTAACCTCGAATGGCCATAGGCCATTGGTGGAATTGGAGATATTGAAGCAACTAAAAGATGAAAATGAGCAAATCCGAGAAAGGTTCTAATTCTGTAGCAAATTTTTTTAAAAATACTTCTTGATCTATTCTGCTCTTTTACAGAATACTAGACCTTTTGAAATATGCCTGTTTCTTCTAGCTTTACCTATCGTCATTTCCATGTTCAAAAATTAATTGGCTTTCTATTACATTTACGCATTTTTGTGCAACTCGCATATCAGCAAGTCTCGACCTCTGATTTTTTTGTGGTTTCCTCAAGGTGCCGGAGGCTGGAGGAGGCAAGTGAACAGAGTCTGATGTTTGAAATTGAACGAAATCGTAAATTAGAGGCTCAGGTAAAATATTTTCTACTGTTCACTGTCAAGTTTATGCAGATGAGTGTTTGTTGTACTTCTAATTCCTGGTACATTTACTTTTTAATGATATTAATTCGAGTGTTCTCTTAGATGAACGTGAATACCTTACCTAATGTTATTTCTATGGCTAGAACAGCTTCTAGACTTGGAACAACAACAGGCAGTTTATAGGCGCAATCTAGAGAAAATCATTCGAGAACGGGATAGTCTGCATATTGCATTGGAAGAAGAGCGGAGGCTTCGAGAAAGTGACGATGAAGAGATGAGAAGAAAACTCAAGGTTAGTTTATTTTATTTGGCTAAACCTTAGACGGCTTTTGATGATTTCTTTCTGGTTCCATCATCGTGGCATTTAGGATAAGTCTTTGTCATTTAGCGTTTGATCCCGTAGTGTCGTTCTACAACTTCTGGCTTTTTAACAAGAGGGATGTTTTTGCAACAGGTCGCACTACTCCATGTGCGAGAGCTAGAATCCGAGAACCACCGCTTGCGTTTCTCTAGGTGTTGAGTCCATGTTCTGTGTGGGTTTGAGGTTTTTGTACAGTTACTTCAGGATCTAGTGCCTCGCATCACCACATTGGTACACCCATAGCTAACAACCGGTCTATTCAGCATATTCATCGTGGTATTTATATTCCACGGCTGAATGAGGTTTAGACACAACTCCTACCTCCCTCTCTTGCAGTTCTAGACACCGTTCGCAGAAATGAGCGTCTGGTCGAGACCAGTGGAAATTTGGTTCTGTTCGAACCTAGCTTGAACATTCTTAAATGAGGTTTACAACTCCGATGTACGAGATGATTAACTAGAGAAGCTGCTGTTAGAATTTTGGTCGAATCTTAGGCTAGTCATTATCACATTTCTCTAGAGTGCATTTCCTCTTTGGAAAGAGTTCATTCAATGTACAATCCACAAATACTCCTCTCATAAGTCGGTATTTGATCATGCTACACTAGATAAAAGATGGATTCTAGCAAGTGCATTCCACAAAAACCTCGGAGGTATGATTTTGTCAAACAATGCGCACTCAACTGAGCGAGACATCGGTCGAAACACACTGCATCGTCGAATTGAGAGCACAGGTTTATTTTTCCACCTGTGTGAACTGCGTTTGAGCAATGTATCTTTTTTGGTCAGAAAGAAGAGAAATTACACAGCACAAAGCTGCTTCCTGACTGTGAGTGGCCGTGAGTTGCTGGGTTGTACAGCCCTAACTACCACCTGTCTTCAATTCAGATGTACTACATTAATGATGTGGGGGGTACACCTGGGCATTGGTAAACGACAAGATCCATCCCCTCAATGACAGGATATGCATCCTTGTGACGACCAGTACCTGCAATACCTTTGCAGGTAAAAGTATAAAGTCGTTCTGGGTTCTGGAGCATAGTATCTTCACACCAATGAAGCCACAGAAGTGTGGTTTCTAGGTGGTGGAGACCGTTCCACCTCCAAAATTTGCTGCATTTTTTGCACACTATATCTCCCCCATCATCCGTGCGACAGAATCTTGTGCAAGCAGCACCATTCGATGTTGTAGCGTACGTCGTTACAGTATCCGTTGAGATCGATTGTGCAACATTATTTGGATATCTGAGACAGAACTTGACTTGGTAACAAAGACGTGCATTTTCCATTGTCATTCGGCTTTTGGACCGACTTTTTGACATGAAATGTTGCAACCCTTTCCAACATAACATTCCAACCTTAACTAGCGTTTGCCAAGCTGGAAACAAAGCAATACAGTTGTGAAACAATCCACCGTGTCGATCAGCTGTGGCACCGAATACACTGCAACAGCGACCACCTGTGAAGTTCCACGGAAACTGAACGAAATCACACATGATTGTTTGAACACAAACCTAGACGAATCCGGAACACCATCCAATTCAATAAAATTTAAACTAAATCCTACAACTAAATCAATCTGTAGAGAGGGAAAAAATAATTAAGTTAGTCATAAAATCACTCCAAGTTATTTCTATATAACTCTCAAAATCAAAAATCACTCTCATAAATCACTCCAAGTTATTACATTCTATATAGATTTTGTTAAGGCCATGTGAATTCAAGTTTTGTTTCAATTCTGATGAAAACTTTATACTTGATTTGACCCAACATTGCCCTTACCTTATGTAAAATTATCTTCTAAAGCAATCTATGTTCGACATTGTCATTGGTAATATCTCTTGCATTTGTAAATTTCTCTTTTTTCTGCTTATTAGTTGTAATTTGACTTGCCTTTTTTTAACAAAATTTTTATAAAAAAAATATTAAAAAAGTATAAAAAAATACAATTCTTAGAGAGAGTATGTGTTTTTTTCATTCTTTTTGCCTCGAGAGGAGACTTGCATATCAAATGCAATAATGATATTTACTATGTAGATTTACTATAATATGTACCACAATGAAAACTATAAAAAATATTTGGTCTTTATTATATTAAGAGACTAGAATACTATATTATCTTATTACAATCATATATTATGCATTTGCAAAGGCATACTTAGGGATTGGGCTTGGATTTTTCAAGGTGCAAATCTAAGCCCAATCCCTAAGTATGCCTTTGCAAATGTAAATGGAGATAAGGTATGGCCCAACGTACAAGTTGGTGGTGTAACAAAAAAGGTGCTTGTTTATTTTACTTCTTACTTTGTGGATTGCATCTTTGTAGTTGGATGATTGCAGGAACCTACACATAGCCATAGAAGACAATGTGATGTCATGGATATATTATACAAAAGATTGAATAAGAAGTTGAACAAAAGAATTTCAATGGAACCTACACATAGCCATAGAAGACAATGTGATGTCATGGACATATTATACAAAAGATTGAATAAGAAGTTGAACAAAAGAATTTCAATGGAAAAACTAGTAAGAATTTGATTAAACCAAATAAATATAGATCAATACCAAGAAAGATGAACTAGAACTCCAAAAGATGTGTTGTTGAGATTGAAGATCTCTTTAGCCTCAACTCCAATATATATTAGATATTAAGAAGCTTCTCAAAAAAATTCCATGTTGCATGAAGAAAAAACAATCCTAAAAACTTCTCAAGATATTTCCATGTTGCTTTAAAATAAAACAATCCAAAGAAGTTTTTTAAATAACTTTTTTAATCTTCTTAGAACTTTCTAAAATTTATTAAAATATTTTGAGAACCTTTTGGAATCTTTTAGAATATTTTAGACTTCTTCTTAGAATATTTTTAAAATCTTCTAAAACCTTCTAAAACCTTCTAAAACCTAATAGAATATTCTAAGAATATTTTGATGTCTTCGTAACATGTAAAGAAAATTGAAGTTTTTTCCAAACAACCAATTTACAAGGTACTAACTCTCTCAAATCTCAAAGCACATGCATTGTGTGTGCACATTTGTCCATTGCTATGGAATATTGGATGTGCAAGACATTATTTTTTACTGTGAAAATACCAATTGTAAAGAAACTAGACTCATATTTTAGGGGCAAAGTTATATCTAGGCAGTTAGGATTACTTGCAAGGCTATTAATTTAAAAAATATCAACTCCCTTTATGAAATGGTTTTGTTGTTGCATTTTCTGGACCCTCATTAGTGTCTCTAGTATAATCCTCAATATTATTGTTGTAGTCAACATAACTGCATTATTTATTCCTAAAATTCATATTGGATACTGCTCCACATTTAGTAGCAGTACCAACCATTATTCTCCTCCAAGATGTCTTTGTAGACATCATCTTCTACAGATTGCTACGTCAACCCTGATTGATCTCACCACATAACAACAATTGTTTACCAACTTCTAGTTGCAACTCAAATTATTAAACTAATCTATAAAATCAATTGTCATGTTTGAAGTGGATTACTAAACAACTACCAAAATAAGTTAAATATTATATACCCTTTCTTCTCAAAAAGTGTGAATATTCCATAACATTATCAAAGTTTAAATTGATTGTCAAAGGTATTTTACTCTAATAAAAATAATCAATATTTGGCATTCTAAGCATAGACAATCCATATAATTTGGTAGACAGATTAAATCTACTGCAAATTTAGTTGTAAAAAGAAAGGAAGTTGTAAAAGCAAAATAATATGAACGAAGATTGTTTGTCTAAATATTATTTGTCTAATGATGGTTATGTTGTTGGCAAAGTCCCGCTTATGACCTATACAAGACTTGAATGTGGACAGACTAGGTGGCACTTCAATGAACTTTATTTTTATGAGCATGTAATTTTAGTGTGGCTAATCTTAAATTTGCCAACACTCTTCTTTAATGTGATGGACAAGGTGTACTACTATGTCTGATTTGTTTCCTATTCAGAGTGCAACTTGCACAATAGTTTAAAATTGTGGAATTCGATATGTCTTTAATATGTTTATACTATTGTCAATTTTCAAGAATTGTCTTTTTCTTGAAACAAGGTTGTATAGTATTTTTTTCATTGTTTTCATTATATTCTCAACTTTGGTTCAACAGAATTGGTTAAATCAAAGTTGAAATGATGTGGCTATGTTACTCAAAGGCATAAGTTTCACATACATATCCAAATCTCATTTTAAAAAACACAATTAATTTTGGAAGTACAAATATACAAAGAAAGACAAGTTCATACTTACTAGGACAACAACTAACTTTTTTATCACAAAAAAATCAAAAGTAGCATTGTAGTGATCAAACAATTTTTAAATATATATTTTTATTTAGTGGCTGAAAAAAGTAATAGAAATATTGCAGGTGGCAACAAATTATCCTCTAGCAACAAGACACTTGCTTCAATCAATGTGTCTAGTCCCTCTTCAAAAAGGCCTACCATTTTAGCAGACGGAATATTTACTATACATGATATGTGTTGTGGAAAAACCAATATATTGTGTTAAAATGAGCATAAAAATGTAGCCAATGGCACGAGTTTCATTAGTGTATGTATATCTATTAAAAGAGCTATTGTGGGTTTCAAATAGAAATTTGAAGACAATAAAATCTTCTTTTTGTGAAAGAACCATCACCAAAAATGATGAATGTTTATAAGGTTTTCAAATTACAAAAATAAAATTTTGATTTTTACTTTTCAATGATAAATATAGATATGCTTTAACTATCTTATTTAATAAAAATAATTTATTTATAGAATCTCTATTTCATATCATATGATAGACCAACATAAAGATATAAAAGTAGAATATCAATATAAAAATTACAAATATATAATGTTTTCTTTTTTCTTTTCTTTTTTATTTATTTTTATAGTTTCTAGTAGTGGTTTTAGATGGTTTGTCAAAAATCATCACAAATACAAGCAAGAGTTATATATAATTAGATTCACCAACTTTGTTTGTATCAACAATGTAGGGATTCAAATTATAAAGTTGATAGATTCAATTTAAAACAGAAGAATATTTTAGTTATTATGAAATTGTGCATCAAATTTTTATATCATTTCTAATTGGTACATGTCCAAAGTTGGAAAAAATTTGAATTTAAAAACAAACATATTTTTGAGAGGATGTCCTGTTCTTTGTTTGCTTGATTTTTGTGTTACTTGGAATTCTTAGGTTTAACATCATGATTTTTTACAAATTTCTTTTTTTGATAGGTAGATAGACTTAGATCAAATATATGAATGATGGCAAATGATTTGTAGGATTTTGCCTTCTTATTTTTTATTTGTTTATTTATTTATTTGATAACCATTAAATATACAACTTCACAATCAACATATCTGAAATCATTTGTTTAGAGGTAACTTTTCACCACTAAATCTAAAATTCTACAGATAAAAATATATGATACAATATATAGCCGAACTATTCAAGATGGTCCATTTGTAACCCTCATAATATCATATAAATTAATTATTTTCATTACCTTTATTTCAAAAAAACTAATAATAATAATAATAATAATAAAACAGTAATAATAACATTGAAAGAATCAATGTTGCCTGTACTACACTTCAACAAACTTCACGAATGTGAACAGTACGGTAAAAAAATCCCAAGTAGAACCTAATAACATTCTGGAAGAGGTCCTACTGAGAAAATTAATTTTACAGTTTCTTTAGTACTAATGTTCACCTTACTAGACAGAAAAGTAATCGTCCTGGTTTTGGTATTTGACTTGGTGGGGGCCGCGCGTACGCGAGCCCCCTCTGCCACAAATTATGACGTGTATGCCTCCCGTAGGAAGATACTAGAGTCACCCGGCCCGAAGTGCAATGGGGCAGGCTCCGCTAGGCCATCCACATTCCGGATCATGGATCGACCCCGCCCAGGTAAGTGAAGAACCCAGCTTTCTTCAGAGTATTTGTAGCCTGAACTTGTACCTTGACTCACCTAACGGTATGGGATATATAACAAAGTTTTTTCTGCTGCGAGGTGAACTTTTCCTGAAAGACTCATGGCGGAGATTCCCTCGTTCCCCGAATGCTCTTCCACACTTGGAGCTTCGCAATCTTTTTTACTCGCTGTGTCAGGCGAGGCTCAGCATAATGTTGGGTGATCTCCTAGGGCTGCCATGGTGGGTTTTGTGAGTTGCACTAGCTCACTGGTCATTTGTTTTCTCAGTTTTGAAGGAGTTTCAGTTGCCGAGGACTTCAATTTTTTCGAGGATTGTTGTTAGCAAAATGTCGGCAAATTTCAGCCGCAGTGAATGCCTGGCTTTTCAGGTTCACGGATTTTGGTCAAGAGTCTTGTATCAAGTTTTCCACTCCTGTCATAATCCAGCATGCTGCGGTGTGTGATGCGCGTACCTCATGTCACTCGTAGTTCATCTAGGTTTTTGTTTAGAATTTCAACAATCATCAGGGTCTTAAGTGGCTGCAATCCTGGCCGTCACGTTGCGTTCTTGAAGCCATGGCGACCGCAATTGCATCCGTTGCCGTGTAATTTTTGAAGCTTTCCGAATCCTTACTGCTCCTGTTCGCTGTGTAACCACCAGACTGTCCTTATCTGGTTTGTGCTCTTGCGAATTGGTTCAGCTTCTAGGCAGGATATACATAGGGGGAAATGTTGATGTGCACAGGAGCATCTGGAATGCTGATTCCAACGGGATTGGATAGTTTGTCGCTTGCAAAAGCCTCTGTGCGCTGCGTTCCCCTCCAGTTGCAATTCAGTCAACAACTTTGCATCCGTCGAAATGTAAAAGTATCCTTCAAGGAGAGCAAGCTGTTCGCAGCTGCAAAAGGGGGAGGAGAGGGTCCTACTGACTGGTCAAAGTTATTGGACAATCCTAGCCCTAATATTACCACGACAGAGAATGTATCCGAGGCACGAATTAAGCACGGCTTCAGTCAGCGTTTGTCGAAGACAATTCGCGAGCATAATCTTTTTCGGCCTGGAGAGAAAATACTTGTTGCTGTCTCTGGTGGTCAAGATTCTATTTGCCTTCTTCATATGCTGGCGAGCCTACGTGATCAATGGGGTTGGCTGTTAGGTGTTGTGTATTGCGACCACCGGTGGTCGTCGTCGTCCCGGAAACAAGGTTCCCACATTTCACAGGTTGCAGCAAGCTTAAGGATAAATTACTATCAAGCAGTGACCACGTCGCCTGTCCCCAGTGAAGGACTTGCACGGACGTGGAGGTACGGCATATTACAAAGGATAGCGCTTCGACATGGATTTACGTCTATAGTCACAGCCCATACTGCGAGCGACCGGGTAGAAACTCTCCTATACAACCTCTTCCGTGGCTCCGGCCTCCATGGTTTGCAATCCTTGACTTGGAGACGCGTATTGTCTCCCTTGCTGTCGCTCTCTCAACGCACAGCGTTTGCTCCAACTGAGATCGTTTCGTCACTTGCAGCCCCGAATGGAGAAATGGTCGAAGTTGGTAGCTCTGAGGTTGCCCTCGTAAGACCTCTCCTGGGTTTTACAAGAACAGAGGTTCGGGAATATTGCGACCTCTTAGGATTACCTCTGTGGCCCGATCCGAGCAACATGTCGCTCGAGATCGACCGCAACCGCATCCGTCACCAGCTCCTCCCCTACCTGCGAGAGAATTTTAACGACTCAGTGGACAAGTCCCTAGCGCGGTGTGCGGAAATCCTCCATGCTGAACAACAGTATCTCGACAGCATTTGCAATAACATCTTGAAGAAGGCGGAGACTGAGGACGCTGATGGGAGAAAACTCGACATTATGATCATGCAATCCCTGCCTGTTGCATTGCAACGTCGAGTGCTCAAACAATTTGTTGAGAATTTTACTGGCAGGAGTTTAGGGTTCGACCATGTGGAGCGCTTGCGAACTGCTTATTCCCTCTCAGGTGACTCCCGCAGTGCATCCAATGGCGTTAGCCTCGCATTGCCAGGAAATGCCTCGGTGAAGTTACTGAAATCCTACTTCCATTTGACCCGAACAAAGCAAATTTAACTACTCTCACATCACGACCATCACATGCTTCTGCTACAACAAATCACTTGAGTACCAAGTGCGCTATTACTTCACTCCGAACTCGACTCTCTTTCTGTCACTGATTTCTGTATTCTTGCATTTTATTGTTCCCTTATCGCATTTTTCTCCTCTGTGATTGCCCGCACTTAAATTGCTGGCGTAGGTATTTTGACAATGACACGATGCGAGTAAAGTGGGTGCCAAAGACAAACATTTGATGGTGCCACTACAGGATGAAAGTGTGATAAGCAGCCTCCAGAAAATTAACGACCTTAGTCATCGGCCGAGTACGTACCCTTGCGAAGGAGCTTGTCACATCTTAGAGAATGTGCATACAGAAGAGTGAGGATCCTGATACATACCAAAAGCTTTTACGTACTACTACTGATACCAATTTTTATTTTATCAATTTAAGATAAGAAATTCAAACAATTTGCGACCGTCATGCATTGGAGCAGATGTCTTCTCACCAAAAGCTCCTCTCAGTTTTCTTTTAAAAATACGTCGAATATTTCACATGAAACAGTACAGGAGTAGCGAGTGAGTAACCCCTCGTTAAAGTCTGCACTACAAAGTTCGGAAATTGTCTGAATTGCTTGCGTAGCTTAATTGTCGCCAGGGACATTGAACATGAATTTCTCGCTACGAAGCAAAGAATTCCTACAGCTTCTCTATTTGAAAGAGTTCCACGGCGCATCCTGTAATGTCCGAATCGGTTCGCTCACGGAACCCGTCAAATTGTATGTGCAACAGTCCTACCTCTTGAGGTTTACAGTGCTGCCCCCGGTATGCTTGGAGCTCAGTGTTAGGGCATCTGTGGCAAATAGACTCATCATGATCCTTTTCAAGTTTGAGCCATAAAACAATCATCGAGGAAAGGAACGGTTGGAATGAAATGTTGACATTCACGTTTACCACACAATTAATGCAAAGACCGTTGGTGTCTTGATTCATGGAGGAAACAGCCAATGAATCACCTTCATCAATGGACCATTGATAGAGGGTGATTCTACTCATGAGATCGTCGAAATGAAAAAAAGAACGAGACAAGTCTAGGCTCAGTTAACATAAAAAAACATATGTCAAATCCATTGCTTCGGGCACAATCACCTCAACATGCCAGGAATTAGGGTTTAACGCCCATTTCCCTTGAGTTGACGAGGATATTACATCATTGGGAACGTGTTAGTAGTGGGAACGGCCACGGACGGCAGAGATCGATGCTCGGGAAATTCGGAGAATTAAAATGGAGGGTGACGATATCTCATGCTTCAGAAACCCTAATCTGGCTGTGAGGTCTCTGGGAGGGGAAGAGGGGGAGCTTAGCGTCGTCAAAGGTCTTTTTACTAGCGCACCGTTCGTGGTTGCAGCTCTCTCAGGTGCAGCACGAGCTCGGAGCTCACAACTATCCACGATGGCATCAGCTGCGGCTCGCCCTCTGGTGACTGTGCAGGGCGTCGATGGGGCCGACAAGGGTGCCCAGGCAACTCTGCCTGCCGTTTTTCTGGCACCAATTCGCCCTGATGTGGTTGCGACTGTGCACACCGCATTGGCGAAGAACAAGAGGCAGCCTTACGCTGTGAGCACCAAGGCTGGTCATCAGACGTCCGCAGAGTCATGGGGTACCGGGCGCGCCGTGTCTCGTATCCCAAGGGTCCCAGGAGGTGGAACGCACCGCGCCGGACAGGGAGCTTTCGGTAACATGTGCCGAGGCGGACGCATGTTCGCGCCCACGAAGATCTGGCGCCGCTGGCACCGGAAGGTGAACCTAAATCAGAAGAGGTACGCTATCGCGTCCGCATTGGCCGCTTCAGCGGTTCCTTCGTTGGTGCTAGCTAGGGGTCACAGGATCGAGCAGGTTCCGGAGGTTCCATTGGTATTGGGCGATGGTGCAGAGGGTATTGAGAAGACTTCTTTGGCTGTTAAGTTGTTGAAGAGCGTAGGTGCATATACCGATGTCGAGAAGGTTAAGGCGAGCCATGCCATTAGGGCTGGTAAGGGTAAGATGAGGAACAGGAGGTACGTCTCCCGCCGTGGACCTCTGGTTGTCTACGGTACCGAGGGGGCCAAGCTTGTGAAGTCATTCAGGAACATTCCTGGTGTTGAGGTTGTTTCGGTCAACCGATTGAACCTTCTCCAGCTCGCACCAGGTGAGAATTGATAGGGAGCCCTAATTTATCATGAGGGTTTTGGATGGTTAGGGTTGAGGCATCATTATGAGATGTCGCTTTCGCATGTCTCCGTTTCCACATGCTTCTTCATTCCCGAGTTGACGTTCATTTAATTCCTATGTTTACAAATCTGTGGATTGGGGATCATGTTCTGATGAAGTCTAGATTCAACATCAATGTGCATCGGTAGTTCAAGGGAACGTTTTTTGTTTGTGCACTTGTAGGTGGTCATCTTGGACGGTTTATCGTCTGGACTAAGTCTGCTTTTGAGAAGTTAGACTCTATCTACGGCACCCAAGAGAAGAAGTCCCTTCTCAAGAAGAACTACAGTCTCCCTCGCAACATCATGGGTAACCCCGACTTGGGTAGAATCATTAACTCTGACGAGGTTCAGAGCGTCGTTCGCCCGACCAAGTCTGACACTAAGAGACGGGCATTGAAGAAGAACCCGTTGAAGAACTTGGGAGCTCTTCTGAAGCTTAACCCCTATGCTAAGACCGCCAGGAGGATGGAGCTATTAGCTCAGGAGAGACAGGCCAAGGCTAAAGCCGAGAAGTTGCAAAGCAAGAGGTCCCAGATTAAGGTATCGTGTTTTTCTCTTATTTTTGAAATGGTGAAACAAACCCTGAATTTTTCTATGATGGGGTTTTACACCTCAGATAATATGTTCCTTGGATATCAAGTCTGCGTTCACGTTCATTTTCCATCGAATCAGCCTCATCGCTGGTGATGCAAAGGAAAAGTAAACTAGAAGTTGATTTAAGCAAATTGAGTTCATGCCTGATGGGAATTATTCTGCTACATGCGTTTCATTCTGCATACAATGGTTTTCCATGCTTGTTTTTCTCGCTTCCAAAGCTTTGTCGTGACTCTCAGTGCTTTATTGTACTTGCAGCCCGAGGAGAAAGAATTGATCAAAAAGCAGGGTGCTTCATGGTACAAGACTATGGTTTCTGACTCAGAATACACGGAGTTCGAGAACTTCACTAAGTGGCTGGGCGTCTCTCAGTGAATACAGACTTGATGCTTTCTTGTCACGTTCACTGGATGTTACTCTTGCCCGAGTCAAGAGTAACTTCGGTAACTTTTGTATGGGCGCGCTCATAATGAAACCATGTCTGGACTTTAGAACTTTTGACGCGGGCTACTGATTTGATGGATATCGAGATGTAGTCAATCGTTTTGGTCCTTTTTCCTGTATGTAGGTTAGAAAGTGCTAATTCATGCTGGCTTCGAATACATGAGGTGAGACCTTCAATATGTCCGAAAATTTTCTTCTCTTCTCTAAGCGCAGTCTCTGTTCGAAATTAAACGAATTTTTGGAGTAGCCTGTTTTGAGAAGTCACCATCATGTCTAGCAGTAAACTACGATCTGCATGTGTTCCGGGACTAGTGCAGTCCGGAAGCATTCAGTTACCATTAAAAATCTTTGGTACAAATCGGTTGTAATGTAAGTGGTGAGAGAAACATGTCACTTTCTCTAAGTTGGGCTTAACCTCTATAACTTTCCTCTCAATCTACACCCTGCCTGGAAACAAATCTTGAGGAGAGGACCCCGTATGATGTCTAAGTGAGGAAATGCTTACCAACCTCATGCTTGTACAAAAACATGACCTGACGTAGAAAATTGAAATGATGAAGCAGGGCTTGGTTCGAAATGGTCTCGCCTTCGCTGGCAACAATATCGTACTTCTCATTAAACTTTCTAAATTCCTTCAACCCTAGAATAGAGCTTTCTTATGTTTCACAATCTACAATAGTATATAGCTTTATTTAGATTTAGCCCTGCTCATGTTATCCAATCGTGCAGCGCGGTGTTTTGTTATACATAAATAATATCTGCTCCAGAATCTATCTCATCCAAACGATTGATTAGAGATTGTTTGTAGTATTTGGGCTTGTCTCCACGTCCACTTCTTTGAAATATTAACAAAATGTGCACAGGTAAATATCTACATCGAATTGTATAAATTTACCAGAACATGCACTTGTATTATAAAAACCGAAATTATTCTGTGTTTTGTATTTAGAGCAAATCGCATTTATAGGTTCAGGTCGTTACCACCTTAACTGTCGTGACGGAGTGGAAATCGGCCTTGACTAGAAATCATGTGGGCTCTGCCCGCGCAGTTTCAAGTCCTGCTCAGCACGACAGGCGTCCATGCATTTAACCGAGATCGTTGTGAGAAGCACTTGTACATGATTACTGGGAAAAATTGCTCAGGATGTGTTTCTACCAAGTATGACCGGTTTAGAGGACCTTTGCTATGTCTTGGAACTTGCATATGAACGCAAGCCATTGATGTGAACTAAAGAGAAATATAATTTAAGTGGGTGGGTGTGGATGTTTGACCGGATGAACTCAAATACAGAGAATGGCAATCTGTCCCTGTTCTAATTCACCAGACACGAAATTTGGCCAGTCTTGGTAGTGTTTTCTACCATTTTTCTATTACTATTTTTCTAATTTTTTATTTATACTTTTAAGGTGCAAAAGAAATTTGTAGAGTAAATAGAATTTGGATTTAACTTTCTACATGGTTGTGCCTTTTGTTGCAAATATTTACATTGCATTTGGACATAAATACATGAATTAATATCTAGTTGTTTGGATAGATGAAAATATGTACTTACATAAAAACTTCTTGTTTAACAAAGAAGACAAAAGTGCAACTAAAACATCCTTGAACAATTAATACTAATAATTTATATATTCTTTTTATGATAAAGTTTCATAAGGGATAGATTGTAGAGAAGGTTTATTGATTGTGTGTCCTTTGAATGTGAAAGCATATAATTCTTGAGTTATGTTGCATATTGAAAATAAGTAATAAAAGATATTTATTAATGAAAATATAAAAAACTATATAAATGCCTCATAAAATAAAATCTTACTATGTTAAACAATTCAAAGAATTAATATGAAACTTGTTCTATCTTACATATTAATTTTGACATAGATTGATTACTTAAAGTGTAATAGAATGTTAAGTACACAAGTCAAGTAAAAACAACCTAAAATTGATGCATATAATTTGTAACATATTGATAAAGAAAATATACATAATGAAGCATAGTAGTGCACTTTTCTTTGAAGATTGATTCAACAATCATATAAGGATACTCAAACAAATAATAGCTACTTCAATTGAGAGTTGAACTTAGGATCTTCAACTTACTTAATGGGCACTCTAACCAACTAAGCTATAGAAGTTGTGGAGAAGTGAGATATCAATCTCTATACCTCTTACATGCTAAGTGAGTGCTCTACCATCTAAGTTGAAATGTGCCAAAATGGCTTATATAGAAAAGTATTAAATTTTTTTATAATAAATTAGTCTACATTGGCAAGCAAAGTATATCAAATGGAAAGTTCTATTTTTTATTTATTTTTATTTTTTTGGAATCCTAAATGTCGTATTTTGGGATTTTGGATATATTCAGGTATCTAAGGATTGTTCGTAAGATTTTTGATACATGATTAGGTCCAAATATTTGGATTCTCTATTGATAGTACTTAAGACATTTGTGGTCAGTTATCATTTGATGTGTGATGTATTGTATGTGAGTGTTAAAATGTACATGCATTTTTGGATTTGTACCACTGGAACTTTAATCTAGTTACTTGTCTTGTGATAAATAACCAAACTAAAGCAATCTTCTCCTAAGGATTCAATATCATGCATGATCTTTACAATGATATCATCTGCCATTGCTCATGTGAGTTGCTTCCTTATATTTGTGACATTTTCTTTTGATCATTATGAAATTGTAGGGCACTGAAATTGTGATTGAGTCGCCATTGGGCATACTACATTCTATGCTTCATTGAGGCAAGTCATTGTTTTTTATTTCATCTTAAAGTAGTAATAGATAGGCAGTTGGTATTAGTATTGTTGAGATAGAAGAATATTTCTATTTAGGTAGGCATATTACCTCGCAAAAGATGTTTGATCATATCTACATTTTCGTGAATTTATTCTCTATTTTATTGTGGTGCTCGAATGAGCAATAGTATTTGTAATTTTGGAGCTTCGCCTATGCATCTATAGCTACCTATACTATGGTTTGCCATGTGTAGTATAGCACTATATTGAGGTAGAAATAGTCTTCTCTGAGGTAATGTTTGTACTTTTAGTACCATACATACCAAATTATTATACAACTTAGGATGTCTTAAGGTATATTCTTAATGATGGAGCATAAACTGTTTGCTTTTCAAAACATACTTACTTCCTATACATTTATATTATTAGAAAGTATAAAAAATGTACCATGGAGCATAGAATGCTATGTGATGGTGGGGGTGGCCAAGTCCATAAGCCCTCAGACAGTCATGTATTTGTTTCATGTTGTCGTGATCTATAAAAATACAAAAAATATATGCTGTGCTATTTCTAAGGTGTGGCCAATACATAAGTTATAATGCCTCTCTTGTTGAATCTTACACTTCTATTCTTTCATAGAAAGACCCTCTACAATTAGAAGCTATACTATTGCAAAGATTTTATGAGAGAGTCATAGATGCTACAAACTAGCCAAGTATTGAGTTTGTTAAGGTAGAAAGTATTCTTGATACTCCATCTTCTTGTCAAATGCCATCTATTTGCATTGTTGCACCAAGATGGTTTATATCCCCTCTTTGTTGTGTAGTTGAATAGTGGCTCTTTTGCTATTGATCCTTGCTTGTACCATAGCTATTCTTTTAGATTAATTTTGAGATTCTTTATTAGATCTACTTCTTGCATCTATATCATGTAGGTACCATCTAGAAGGTTGGTTGGATTAAATTCCACCATCTTACCTAGTTGGCTTTTGATAAAGATTCTCATTCTTTCAGTTGCTTGTGCAAAAATTGCTATGTGATTATCAATCCTGATGAGCTTGTTTGTTTATTTTCTTATTACATATTGTAAGCTTATTTAGTCCTTAGTCCCTTGTCTTATTATATGGTAGATTGATGCATTGCTACCTATTGTGACCTACTTCTCCTCCGTCAATGTGATTGATTGTATAAGTTTTTATATTACCATGGTATATATTATCTACATGAATGTTTCTATCTTCTTGGACCTTGTCTTTTGTTTTAGTATTTGATTAGTTTGCCATTTGTATCTTATATTGTGATATATATTGTCTACTTTGTTGATGCCATTGATGGACTAAGTATGAAATTTAGATTTGGCTTTTGCTCCTAGGCTCATGTTGTCCTCTACAGTAATTTTTTTGTTTAAATATAAGGATTGCTTTATCTTCTTGACCTACGTGTTTCCAAGTAATTTGGTGAGTCTCCTCTTGATCATCATCTATGCCATCCATATCACTTGCCATAAGTTCTAGCCTTAAAATTTAATTTTGGGAGCCATAAATAACCAACTCACATGATTGTTCCAGTCTCCATTTTTGTAGAGTTATATATTTCTTATTTTGTATAGAATGAAAGATTTATAGGGCTCCATCTCTAGCATGAAGGCCCTTGAAATAATCTTTGCCAAGAATACTCTTATTTGTCTTATAGGATCAAATATCTTGATTTTTTTTTAGATCATTGAGATTGTTGTGTTGTTCTAAGTCACTCTAGTTCTTATCTTCTTATCTAGGTTGTCGGCCCATTCAAAGTTTCTAATGAGTGCCTTTATCCTCATCAATACTTTTTGTTGGATGTTATTGCACAAGGTAAGATATCTTATACTATTGATGATGATCTAGTTAGATACAAGTACCTTAGCTAAGAGGGATAGTTTCTTATTGAATCATGTTGCAAGGTTCTTGAAAATTCGGTCCATTACATCTTCATCCTTGTTGTGTTAGATTATGTCATCTTTGAATGTAAAGCCTAAATAATTTGTATGTGTGCCTTAAAAGAGCTATATTAGATCCTTATCTTTTTTTTATTTCATAGCCGTAACTCATTGTTGATATACAAAGCCCTTATCTTATTTCAGTTGACCATTAAGCCCAAGATTACATAGAATAATTCAAGCACTTCAAATGAGCATTGTATGTTCTTAGGGATTCTCTTGAGATAGAGGGTTGTATTGTTTGTGAAGAATTAATTATAGATTTTGTTACCATTAGAGAGATGAAGATCCTCAATTATATAGGTGATATTTTTTATCATATATAATGGCACATCTA